GATATCCTCGTAGAACCTAATGTCCGCATTAACATGAAAGATATTTTCATGAAAATAACATGAAAGATGATTCTGTGTGCCCCCCACCTCTCAGCCGTAAATATTCTGCATTTTCTTTGATTCCCTATAAGTGAAACTGAAGTAACTTAACAGTAGTGTTGTAACAATTAGCTGAAAATTTTGTATCTTGTTGTTCCGACTTTTGAAGAAAGTGAGGAATATATTTGCTCGGGGTGGTTTTTTATTCTAACTAATTTTACAAAACTTTGTCCATCGTCGGATCGATCTCTTGATCTGCATGGGCCCAGCCGAATGCAAACTACTTTGGTAAAGTACCACGAGTCTGTCTAAAAGACTCGTTTGATACTTAACAAGTGGCAAATTATCCCACACAAGTAAATTGTTCCAAATTGAATTGAGGCAGCTTTTTGTTATAAGCAAACATTTACCAGGCAGTTATTTTCAATTTAACATTAACTAATTGAGACCAGTTGAAAGGTACTCGGAACATTCAGAGTTTTGCCCTGTTACGAGCAGTTTGAATCAGTTGCGCTAAATACTAACTCAATAGCATATTTCCTTGCCACAAAAAACTGACACTAAAGTTCGTTTATCATAAATTTATGCCTGTGCATTCCCTGGCTGGCAATCTTAAAAAAGTTCCCCAATCTTAGAACTTCTTATAAAAATTGTAGAAAATTGCCGCTATCTTACAAGTTTCTTATAAGAATGTTCTAAATTAGGGCTTTTCCCCACAATTCAAAAAATCATCAAAAATCACCAACTGCAAACTGCCAAAAAGCTCGGTATTACAAAATTTCTATCCTTTTATCATCAATCAATCATTGAATACTGAATAGCATGAAAACGACATGTATTCACCCATTCGTTTTAATAAGCAACCGATGTTTGTCACCAGGCTAAGTTACTTGAAGTATTACATTAAAATTAGGCTCAAATTTGCTAAATTTTTGCTTTTTTCTGTTGAATTGTAAACATCTACCAATAATTAAATTAATAATTAAATGAAAAAACACTGTTTGCGGACAGATGCTTAAAATTTGCTTAGGTGTCTTCTAGTCATTTTTAGGTAGGGTTGCTTGAAAAACAAATGGGCGCAGTGCGACAGAATTTACTCGCATATCGATTAATATTGTGTGCAGGAGCGGATCCAGGAGTTTATCAAGGACTGGGGGCAAAGTAATACCAGATTTTATCAAAGGACGAATGCAAAACTATCCCAAAATACGGTTAAGAAGGCCCTATGATGCTGCAAATTTTCTACGCTGTGGGTAAACTTATGGAAAAAACAGGCCAATATAACGTTTTTTTTGGGTAAACTTCAAGAAGTTTTTCAGCGCGAGCTTCTGCGCTCAAGTTTAGTGTATATGTTTGGGCCGAAGGCGCCTTAAGCATAATTAAGGGCCGAAGGCGCCTTAAGCAGAATTCCCTGAGGAAGGAAGAAGAAGCAACCCCCCCCCCCCCCTAAATCGCTCCTGATATTGTGCATGAGTATAGGGGAAGGGGTTGAATTGCATGGATATGTACATCAAATACGTGCAGTTCAGTTCAGTTCACATGTGCAATGATGTTTACATGCATCAGGTAACCTGTGTTCGGGTGTAGCCGACTGTTCCTGTGATCATGTACCTGGATTGCTCAATGGATGATGCGTCATCATTCTCCTGGCGCTCCAGCTCCTGTTGTTGGCGTCTCTCTCTTTCCTTCTTCGTCTCAATCTTCCCCCCTACCCCGCCTCTGCCTCCTCCCCTTTTGCGCTTACTATTATTATCATTATTATTAGTGTTGTTATTATTGTTGTTGTTGTTATTGTTTGTTTTGTTCTCGTTCGGATCCTTCTGCAGACTCATGAAGAACATCATTGAGTTCCAAATGCAGCTCAGTTTTGCGGCCCCGTTGGCGAAGAAAGCGTAGCCGAGACCTACAAAACTTTTTGAAATGGTTATGTGATTGGCAAGCGCAGGAACGTTTTTGATCGGATAGGGGGTTGAGTGTTGTTTTTTGAAGTTTTTTTCCGACCCTGAACAATACCCCAAAACTAATATAGTAACCTATTTATACGATTTTGAACATATTTTAGCGCAAACCGTTCCTTTAAAAAAGTTTTTTTTTGCCTTGGTCAGTCAGAAAATGCTGTAGCACAGTCAGGGCGGAGCTAAGTTTTGAACAAAAATTGCGTTTTTTTTTGGCGCGCGCCCCTTAAAAATGATGTGATATGTTACAATAGGTGGTAAAATGAGAACTTTTGGAGTATAATGCATTATTGAATTACTTTGCCAGATGTTAATACGCTTGCAATTAGCAACCGTTATCAACTCGGAATGAAGACTTTTTTTGGGTTAACAACTGGTTTAACAAAATCAGTTGAATCACTTGAGCTGCTCTTCAGCTGATATGCTCAATTTCATCAAACTTCAATTTTAACAACTGGCTGGGTACTAGATACTACATGGTAGTTGTAGGGGGTAAAAGATTTTTACATAATATTTTTTTTGGCTCAACTGGTCTCTGCTCAAAAGTTGTCGTCCTAGTTTCCGCTTCCTAAGTTTTGTTCAGCTGCTTTTTGAACTTCAAATGGCTTGCTTGGCATGTTTGCCTAGAATTTTTGTTTGAGAAAAATATGTATTACGAAAGTGCATGGGTTTTTTAATTTATTTTTTTAGACGCTTTGGAAAATTTTAATAGTTTTCGCAAAAATTTTAGGCTTTTTCTCAAAAATCTTTCTACCGATTTTCAAAAAAAGGTTTTCATAGAAAGACCGATATGTTTGATTTATTTTGGTTTTCTCAAAAACTAACCTTCCAAATCTCAGATTTTTGTTTCAACGAATAAATCGGATTTGAAAAGCTCCCCTCCCGTAAAATTATGACCCTCGGACTAGTCAAATTCTTAGTTTTCTTCACTGTTTTTTTATATGGTTTTAAATTTTCTCAAAAACTTACCTCCCAAAATTGAGGTTGTGGGTAAAAATGGAAATTTTTGACTACTCACGATTTTTTCTACAAAAAACTCATCGTCCTCGGAAAATCAGTTTTTCGACTTTTGAGCGTTTTTTCTTCTAAATTTTTTGAATTTAACCAAAAAACACCCTCTCATTTCTGAGACTTAGAGTACAATCAACCGAATGGGTTGTGGGGAGCTCCTTTGCATACAAGACAACGCCCAATTTTTTGACACGAGTTTGGAAAAACGAAATTTTGACTTTTTTGATCAATTTTTGAAATTTTTGGCTTTTTTCGACAACTACCCTGCCAAATCTTGTTTTTGGTTTTCGGGTTTAATCGAAATAATAGTTTGAGTGAATCTCTTCTGCTTAAGCCGCTACAACACCCAATTTTTTAAAACAAAAAGCTATGGTTCTCGGAAATGTCAACTTTCTGATTTGTTGACCGTTTTTCGACTTTTCTCGATAACTCTTCTGCCAAATCTGATATCAGAAGTTTATTCAACCCAACAGTTTGTTGGAAACTTAGCTTAATAATTTACTACGCTCAGTTTTAACTTTTTAAAAGTTATGGTGCCCAAACAATTGAAAGTTTTGAAAATTGGTCCGTTTTTTATAAGTTTTTTTTTCACTCTACTTGAATATTACCGTGTCAGTTTTCAGGTTATAGTTTCAATCGAGAAGCACGGTTTTGAGAAATTTCTCTACTTTACAGGCCACGACCTGCTTCTAGCAAAAAAATAACCGAAGTCTGAAAGTCAAGTTTTCGAAGTTTGACCGTTTTTTAGAATGTTCTTAAAAATTACCCTATCAAATCTGAGATAATAATTTCAACGGAAAGAAGCATTCGGGCGAGTAATTTCCCGCATAATTGGCTACTCCCTAGTTTTTGTAAGAGAAAAGTCAGGTTTTTGGGAAAACAACATTTTCACTTTTTTCATTCATTTTAGTAGAGAAACGATTAAGGTTTTCACCACCGCTCCCCTCTTGGAAAAATTAGAAAAACTTTAGGATTGGTTTTCCATAAGATCATTCTGAAAAGGGGACCTTTTGGGTGATGAGGGGGTTGAATCCGTGAGGGGGGGAGTCCCGCCTAAATAAGTTTAATAAAGTAATATAAAAGAAAACCCTTCAAAAAAATTGCACTGAGATTATACGGGAGTGGCTTTAGGATTCCCGCTCACTCTTTTTGGCACGCTGCCCGGTTACATACTGGTTTCGAGGGAATCGTTTCCCTCTGGGAATCGTCTCCCCCTCCACTCAAAGAATCCCCTTTTGGTATTATTTTAAGACATCCATTTTATGCTGACCTGCACTAAAGTTTTTCCAAAGGCGCATTCGGCGCCAGTATATACATTTTGAAAGTGAGCGCTAGCTGAAAAACGCAACTTATGGTGAAATATTTCCGAAAAATAACCAAAAACGGCATTTGGCTTTTTTTTAAATTTGCCTGCGGCTCAGAAGTTTTTTTTTTGACAAAATAGGGTCTTTTCAGGGTTTTAAAGCTGCTCAAAACTCAATTTTGACGAAAAAAAAATTAAAACGTTTTGAAAAAACGGTCCTCCTCCTCGAAAAAATCCTGCATACGCTCGTGGCGCGATACATGAAAATTGAATTTTTTACTATTTTGTGAATGAGCACTTTTTCAAAACTCGTTTAAGAAATATTTCTGTTCTGGACCAAAAGCAATCGCTTCAGTAACACCCATGTGCTTCGAAACGCGGGTCAGAAATTGTAGATTTGGCCAAAAGAGGTATTTTCGAACTCAGTTTTGAAAATCTTATTGCTACACATCTACAACGGATTCTGGTCCAAAATACTTTTATCTCAGAATAATTGTTTTAACCTGGCTAATTAATTAAAATAAATCCGCTTCCAGATTATAACATTCTTCCTATAGGGCTAAGAGTTTTAGGATAGGTTAGCCAAAATATACAAAGGCATTTATATACAAAAATATACAAAGACAAATATTCAAAGTCAAAATATACATCAGTTGTTTAAATAGTGTAGTTTTTTTTATTCTAATGGCTGACTAACCAACGTCTTTGCCGATGAAAGCCATGAAAGCCAAGTAAGCGTAGGGGGTCCATCCAACCACAAACGCGAGAGAGGCAATCGCACAAACTGTAGTTACCTTCCTTGTCCTAAATGCAATCAAGAAAAGTTGTTGATGAGCAAATCTGGTTATATACAAACTAGTCAAAAATATTTTGGCAGCTAAGTTTGCATGTTGTAAATTTGATGCGCGATTGGGGGGTGCTGGATAGCTAGAAAGATGCTTGAGCCATTTTTATAAGATATTAAAACTTTCAACTACATAAAATTATACGCCAGACAGTTTTTCCAAGTGATGTCGAACAATAAAAATCATAAACTCACAATTCAAAAGCGAGTTCGAGAAAGAAAAAATGTCTACGTTTGTCAAGCATAGTGAAGTCTACGTTTGAAACGCAGAGTGATGTTTTTTTTCGAAGAAAATGACAGAATATTTGTGATTGGGGTGGGGTGATTTTTTCAAGAAATTTCGACATTTAACTAGCTATTTTTGACGTATGGGACCAATTATGCCTCGAAACAGAACAATTTTATGTGCGGGATTAAAATTGTTCAGATTTTTGAAAAAAAAATGATAGAAGATATGTGATAAGTTTTGACATTTTTAGTTTAAACGAGTTGTCTCTCTTGTAATTGAGGCGGAATTTCTGCATAGTAAAAGGGTAATAATTTTTATTTGCGGGAATCTGAAATGAAACGTTTTTTGTCAAAAAGAAAAAAACATGACAGAAGTCTTAGTTCTCTTGGAACATGTTTTTACGTAATTTCAAGCAATGGAACCAAGATTTATTAGTTTTTTTTTGTTGTTGATTAATTAGAGAAAAAAGCAGTACTGACTTAATCATGGATGCACTGGCTTGGCTCTGCTTGTAAACTCGTCTCAGTATTTCGGCATAGACACAGATGATGATTGCAAGGGGAACTGCATAGCCGAAGATGAACATACACCACAGGTAGTATCTTGCTCTCGGATCAGGGTCATTGTAGTCCATGTTCCAGTAGTAGCCTCCAAAGTCCATTTCGTACCTGCAGAAAGGTAGCCAACTTAGGGTCTTAACTAAGTCCCCCCTACTCCTATGGTACCTTTGTAACAAGTTTCCTCCTATTAAGAAATACTTGAACAGTTAAGCACACAAAACTCTTACCTTGTAACGAACCCTCCTTTCGCAAAATGGGGTGGGGGGGGGGGGGGTGATTAGTTAATAACAGGATACTGAACTAATTATCCTGTTATAGTTCCGCCATAACAACTCGAACATTGACGTGACAAAACAAAATTCCCGGACATAGATTATCGTTTGAAAGATTCGATAGCTTTCAAAAATTATACCCAAACTTCTGCCACAAATTATAAATGTTCGGTTTTGTCACGTAAGAAATATGAAACAAGGATCCATCGAAAAATATATGTGCCTCACGTGTCTGTACAAATGAGTTCAATACAAAACAGTCCTGAAAATAGTCCCAAAAAGTGATAACTGTTCTAGAAACTGATGAAAAAATTTCTCTCGGATTAAAAACAATTTCATTCAACTCATCTTGATGGCAATAGGTATTATAGCAGAGAAACTAGAACAACCTAGATAACAGCAACGGCCACTCATTGAAAGCCATAATACGCGAAACATAAAACTTAACGCGATAGAAAAAATGGACTCATCATTTAATCCAAGCAGAAAGAGACAAGTTGTTCAAGTTATTTCATTTGCAAACACTTTGCAACACTCAATAGAAATCAAATTCAATAACAATCGATAGAAATTACACTTACCATCAAAAATTTAGAGTTACTGATTTTTGAAGGGTATGCTTACATTAAACACCGAAAACTGTCAGACTACTCTTTTTCCTGACCCTGCGCACAAATCAGCTGCAATGGTTGTGTGCGTATGAAAAAGACACTGATGAGATCGCTAAAGATCACCGCCACTTCCCCGATCTGACTGACACCAAAAAACGTAAGTTCAGAAAAACGCTTAAAGATCGCGCAGCAGTTTCGAATGTAACAACACGACAGACTTTTTAAGCACCCAGGGTGATGTTAACCGAGAAAAGCTGTTCATTTACCAAGTTACTCTGCTAAAGTTCGTCGCGAAAAAGGACCAAAGATGGCAGTGCCAACTTCGCTGACTGGCTTTGAATTACCACTTGCCCGACAGAAAAATCACGATGATGAGCAGTTCCTTTTGCACGAATCTGGAGAAATGGAAAAAAAATTTGTTCCCGGAGATTCGATCCTTTGATCTTTAAAGTTTGAGACTAGCGCATAACCACTATACCATCAGGCTTTTGGTTTTGACCTATCTAATTAATAGGTCTTTCGTTCTTTGATCTTTAATTTGATTCCAAAGCGTAAATCTTTTCTGTTGGAGTCATACGATCTGATTTTGGACTTGTTTCAATTGGACTGTTTTAAAGTTTTTTTTTGATGATTCGGACTCTTTTGTATGGGACTGTTTTTCATATGACAGTTTTGTATATAAATCGTGCCTGCACCTAAATACGATCCAAAGTGAACTGACCGTGCTTTTATGCCACATTATTTCGTTAAGCGCAAATTATTTTAATCCGTATACTTGAAATTACCTTTGGGTAATGCAAAGTTTAAGAAGGTTTTTTGTTCCGACCATTGAAAGGCTTAAGAATTAACATAAATTTATTTTTGAGTGGTTTAATTTAGTTTACTCCAGGAAAATTAGCTTTATCAAGCTTGATTCAACGTCTTCTTCAAAATTTTCATTTGAATTATTCTTTTTTTGAATAATTCATGTTATTCGTGTTGTTTTTTGTGATTCGTGTTTCAACAACTGTTGTCGATTTTGCTTTTTTGTGCTTGAAGTTTTCTCCTTGATATTATGATCACGCGAAACACTAACTTTCCAAATTTACAAAAAGAACCAAATTTGCAAAAGCAACTGCCTATTCTTGTTATTCTGCTTTCAATTTAAAGTAAAAGAGTTAAAAGAGTTTCTTAACTTTGAGAAAGATGTTTTTTTAATTAGTACCGTCACAGAAATTGACAAAAAAGAGGAAGTCAGTTTTTTACAGGATGTATTAGAACTTGATGCTTCAACTAGCTTAGATTTCTCCAACTCGGTAAAAAAAACTTTGAACTAGTTTCAACTTTGTTCTAAAATTGGAAAAAGTGTACTTAATAAAAACAGAGATAGTTGAAAGTGTAGTTGATAAAAGCAGAGATGAAAAAAAAGGATGCCAGTTTAGAGGATGGAGTGAACCAGACGCCCCCGCCTTACTTTGGTTTTCCTGTGATAAAAGGAGTAATCGTAATGGCAAGCGAGCAAAACACAGCCACTGACAAGGTAGACACGAGGAAGGGGAGGTTGATCAAGGGCCTTCTAGCTCTGGTTTCTGAAACAACAAACATGTCTACTTAACAATTGCCACCCCTATTAATAAAAGCAGTAAATAGCACCAGAGCGTTTGTTTTCAAAATTCGAATTTTGCTGCAATCTGATTGGCCGAAAATTCGACAACTTAATCTAATTAACAATTGCCCCCCCCCCTTTGAAATGGGGGGGGGGGGCAATGTTAAGTAGATCCAAAATAATTCCGGATCTTCAACAAATGACCCTATCTACAAACCGCTATACCTTGAAGCCGAAACTACATCAGAATAACCCAGTAACTGCATAACAATAGTAAAAATAAGCTGTTATACAATACTAGTAAAGTAAATAAGCTGCAAAACAATATTAGTTTTCGGCTAGTTGGCCCTTCGGCTTGTTGGAATCCCACACATTAGCCTAGATTTGATCATTAGCCCAGAAAAAAATCAACTCTATCAGTTTCCGCATCTCATATTCTTAATAAGAGTCTCCTCCTGTGATTGGATACTTGATATAGTCTTGGGTTTTTAGGAGAACAGACAATTTCCAACATTTGTTCCCAAAAATTGGATAATCAATCAGGGGCGAATTTAGGGGGGCGGGCTTTGGGCGGACTTTCTTCTCTTCCCTCAGGGATTCGATATTCTAATTCTGAGGGGGGAGCGCGCGTCGAAAAAACGCGATTGTTTGGACAAAATTTTCCAAAACTGCCTAAAAACGCCTTTTTTAACCTAATTTTGTTTAAAGTTTTGCCTGCGGCGCAAAAATGTTTGCCAAAACAGGGTCTCTGTAGTGCTGGGGGGGCTCGGAAAATCAATTGAGTCGACCTAAAAAAAAAGGTCGACAAAATTTTTGATTTTTTTTGAAAATTCGCCCCCCCCCCCTCGAGAAAATCCTAGATCTGCCCCTGCAATCAATTAATTGAATGCCCACATAATTTTGAGCACAAAGGGTGGAAGTTACTTTTTCAGTTAAGTACTCAAGTATCCTCCAATAACAGGAGAGTTCTCTTAAAATAAGTAATATTATGTATGATCATTGGTGTTAAGGCGGTTTATTCAGCCCTAAAGTTAATTTCACTGTTTCATACGCATGACAGAACTTTTTAACTTGATGTTAATTGATTATCTTGTAAAACTGAGTCTACGTTTGGCAGAGGAATTTTTGGGCCACTTCATCACATCTCATATTTAATCTCTTTTCGACTCTTTTTGAATAAATTTACCCCCTTTCCCCTCTTGCAATCGTTTACCGGTATAATTTCCTCTATAAATTTACTTCATATGACCGATTGTTACGAAAATTGCATACGGACTAATTAGGTTATTCCAAACAGATTTGGACTTCATGACTAAGCTTGTCACTCCACTTTTTATTCCTTAAAAATGATGTTCACAAAAGTGTGTGTATGTGTAATTGTTTGTGTGTGTGTGCGTGTGTGTGTGTGTGGGGGGGGGGGGGGGTTGCATAAATGTGACTTTACTCACTCTGAACGACCGTGAACAAAGTTGACCTGGCCCTGTCAAGAGCTATGAGCACGTGTATGTACATGGAGTTCATACCGAAGAACATCAACACCACCGACTCTCTAAAACACAACAGATGGTTTGGTAAAAACAGAGATTTGGTAAAAAAAACTCATCGTAATTGTGCTTTTTTTTCAAATCCACACCTTTGTTGGAATGTAGATAAAACACGGAATCAGTATATTCAAAAGTCTTAATAATATCGAAGAAACTAAAAGTTTTTTTAGTTAGTAATTAAAAAAGCATGGTTTTGTCAAACAGAGATTGTGAAAAATATGGTAAAGACTTTGAGAAAATTATCACGCAGTAAAATTTTGCGGTAAAGTTATAGTGCGCGATAATTTTTACCTCTTTTACTCTAACGAATAAGATGCACAGAAGTAAAACAAGACTGCTCGTATCAGGGCGAAGCCCTGAATGTTCCGACTGCCTTTTAAGGTCTATGGAGCAATAATAACATAAAAAAATTAAATGTAATAAAACCAAATGAAAAATTTTTTTTCTAAAATTTAAAATTTTTTTTGTGAAAATCATCCCCCCACGCGCCATAAAAAGTACAAAGGAATAGATTTTGCTCCGTGTAACAAATCAATTATGGCAAACAAGCTTCTTTCAACCATTTTCTAAGACGTTTGGAACGATTTCTATGACGGATTAAATCTCCGCTTACGCGTTAGTAGCGCGAAGTATGTCGCTCGTTAATTGTCCCAAATTGGCCAAAATGGTTATCTTTGAACCCCCATATGACTTTACAAAATATGATCACAGGTAAAATATATTTTCAAGTTTAAACTCAGGACAAAAGTACCTTTTGAATGATAGAAAAAAATTCCGTCAAAATAGGCTAGTTAAAAAGCAAAATATTTTTTCAAGAAAAAACCCACCTCGAGCACAAATATTCCGTTACCTTCACTACGAAAGTCGGAATATAATGACTAATATGCAACTAAGATGTACCGCAGATACATTTTTGTAAACTCGTTTGGGGCTCGGAGAGTATAAAACTGTTGCAATAATCTTGTCATCCTTGCCAGGGATCATTCAACAAAGTTTGGAGTTTTCCAAAAATAACTGCTAAAGGAACGACCTGGCACGCCATAACTTTACAAGCAAGTCGACAATTTCCAAATCACTTGGTTAGATTAAGACAATCTCAAAAGACCTTGCTCATCATTGAATCTGCGTTTTTGCCAAAATTTTCGAGGAAACGAATCATGTTGCATCGAATGTAAGGTTAACAAGACAGCTCGTATCAGGGCGAAGCCCTGAATGTTCCGACTGCCTTTTAAGATTTATGGAGCAGCAGTAATAACATAAAAAATTAAAAGGAATAAAATGAAATGAAATTTTTTTTCTTCTAAAAGTTAAAATTTTTTGAGAAAATCATCACCCCACACGCCATATTAAGTACAAAAAGATAGATTTCGTTCCTTGTAACAAATCAATTATGGCACATAAGCTTCGTTCAACCAATTTGGAGCGATTCATAAGCGGATTAAATCTCCGCTTACGCGTTAATAGCGCAAATTATATCGCGCGTTAATTGTCCCAAATTGGTCAAAATGGCCAAAATGGCAATCTTTAAACCCTCATAACCTTATGAAAAATGATCACAGGTGAAATATCTTTTCAAATTTGAGCTCAGGATAACAATCCCTTTTGAATGATATAAAAAAATTCCGTCAAAAATGGCTAGTTAAAAAGTCGAAATTTGTCTGAAGAAAAAAAAACCCACCCCGAGCACAAATATTCCGTTACTTTCGTATCGAAAGTCAGAACAAAAAAAACGGCGGAATCAGAGATTTTCTGCGTTATTTCAGTGATATTACACCGCTGGTTAAGCGCTACTTAATTGCTGTAACAGCGCTGAGTCAACACTTAATCATCGCTTTTCAGCGTTATTCCAGTGCTGTTTCATCGCTGATTCATCGCTGATTCATATTAGGGCTATTTGCAGCGCCGAATCCGCACTGATCAGATTCTGTTTCATCGATGCCACTCGATGCATTAACACTGCGCTAAATGTGAATTTTGCTGTAAGTTCGACCCGGCTTTTCTATTCTTGTATAAGCTTAGTTATTATTCCTATTTCAAAAATATCTCTATCTTCGTTTTTCTTTATAATTAGAAAAGAAAAACGTGTTTCCTTGTTGGTTCATAGATATCCCAAGTGGTGTTCGTAGAACTCATTTAAAGTACAGTCACGGAAATAGTTGCAATTTTTTCTTTTCAAAGAGCAAAAGAAGTAATTGTTTCTTCACAATTTTGTCGTTTTCTCTGCAACTGTTTAAGGTATAAAGGTTTCAATTTTGACAAAAAGTAGATTGAACTATTTGAAAGGGCTTAGACGGGCCAGAGCTTTAGAAATCTTTTGAATGCGTAAACTAGCCACTATATCAAAATGAGTTTCAGAGGTGTTTGTTCTTGCTGTGAAAACAACGTCGCAAACAATATAAGGAATGGGAATTTATGGGCTCAAGTAAAATTTTTGGGAAATTGATGAGTTTAGCTTACTCTTTAAGCCGGCGAAAAGTGACAGAGAACAGAGCTGAAAGGTCCGGCGTCGAGACACTTCATATTTGTTTTGACGGCACTTTCATTAGAAGCATATACCAGAATTTTGAACAAAATTGCCACACTGTATACCTGCTGATGAGAATTCTGAGCATAAGTTGATGAAATAAATTTCCTACCAATGTAAGGCATCGTAAACATTGGCCGTTTTCGGACGCTGGACCAAACAACTCAATTCTGTTATTTGTCGTTTTCAGCAGCATAAAGAGTAACTCAATCTCATCAAATTCCCAAAGAACTGATTTGAGTCCATTAGTTCATGTTCCTTATAATGTTTGCAAGGTTATTTCCACAGAAGTAACTCTCTAAAACTAGCTATGAGATTCTAGCTAATTTACGCGTTCAAAACAAAATTTTTCCAAATTTTAGCCCCATTAAGAACTTCCATGTTGTTTCATCTACCTTGTTTCAAAATTTGAATCATATTACGTAAACAGGTGCAGAGAAAATGAGAAAAAATGAAGAAAAACCTTGTTTGTTTGCTCGTTGAAGTAAAAAGTTTGCTACTCATAAGTCCCGTGACTCTATAATAACAAAAATATTCGCCGAAATGAAAATTTTAAAAACGGAAAAAATTTCAGTGACGATACAAAAGGGTTGTACTTAGATTGTTGGCTACTCAGAAATGCTGATATTTAAAAAACATCTGGACTGCTCATTTGGACGGTGAAAGGTTTGCATTACCATTTGAACAATTGAGCTATACGTTTTATAAAAAACGCTTGAAATTATTGCTTCGTGGAAAACTTTCAACTATTGATTTTTCATCTGTTCTCAAAAAAAGCAAAAAAAAAAACAAATTTTTATAAACGACCGCGAAAACAAAAACTCAAAAAGTTTCAAATCTGAAAATATGTTCATTTTCCAAGTTCGCTTGAAAATAGTGCTTTCTGGAAAACTTTCAAATAATGATTTTTCATCTGTTCTCAAAAAAAGCAAAAAAAAAAAACAAATTTTTATAAACGACCGCGAAAACAAAAACTCAAAAAGTTTCAAATCTGAAAATATGTTCATTTTCCAAGTTCTGGTTTTTTATCGCTATGTTTGGGTTATTCTACGCTACTTGCAGATCAACTTAAGTTATTAGAAAAATTCGTTTTTGGGAGATATTTAGACTGACATGCAGTCAGAAGAGACAAGAATGATGCGCTGATTGTCATCGTATGTCATCGGGTTTTTCTAAATCAAGGGAAAAGCCACGCACCCAAATTCATTTTGAAGAACCGCGATTTGATTTTTTGTTGGCTGATTTTTTTTATTGCTGGTCAGTTTTTCAAAAAACAAGAGAGGATGCTATTGTTTGGTTTGATTGCTTGTTCCTGCAGACCAGTATCGATACCCTTGCTACAAAGTTCTAATAATTTTATATCACATGAGATAGGAGAAACTACTAGGTTTGAAAGTTGCTTAGAAAATTTTTTATGATGCCTTGCTCATAGGCTATCTATCAAGCCGTACTAAAAATCAATCAAAATTGAAACGGTGCATATTAAAACTTCAAAAAAAGCGATTTTTTTGCTCGATCTAATTATTTTTTTTTTGGATATTTTTGGGCAGCTTTTGTATAATTTTGATGCAAAAAATTGCACTTTTTTGGCGGAATCTCCCTTTTAAGATTAGATTATTTTATCGCCAAAGGCGTCTTTAGAAAACCTTTAGGGTTGATCGGCTAAAAATGACACTAGTAGATCAAGAAAAGTTATCTTGCAAGAATCTTGCAAGAATTTTTGAAAGACAATGCAGTTGTTAACCTCCTTTAAAGCTAACGTATTTTAAGCACGTGTTCTAAAACATTTCTGTAGCAACTGCAGTGGTAACATGTAAAGCAAATCATCAACAAAAACGAAAAAAAAAGAAAATTGTAACCGCAATATATATAAACATACTTGTTCATCGTATATATGTGAACACGACTTTCCAGATTTCTCAAGCTAACTGGCTCTATTGATCAAAATTTTGATATAAATAACAATAAATTAAACTTTGTTCTCTAGAATTACAAAACTACATAAATTGATTTTAAAACAAATCAAAAAAATGTGTTTTCGGAAATCCTGATTCGGAAGGCATAAATTATAACCATAAATTGAAAAAATCTTGCAAGATTACCTTTCTTGATTGACTAGGAGAATATTATAAAATAATACGAAAGGGAGACATTTAGGTTGGTGAGGGCGTCAAATCCCTGAGTGGCTGCGGTTTTTGTTTTTTGCTGAGGATCTGGGAATAGCCATCCCGACTGTATGCTTAATTTTTGACCGAATATTTGGATTTATTGCTGCGCGCTCCTTCCTTAAGTTTGACGTACATTGTATGTTGTGAAACAAATAAGACACTAACTTAGATGACATATTGTAACCGCGTCATTTATCTGAAACTTATTAAATAGTTTCAGATAAATTGTTGATATACTGGGACAGCCGTGGTGGTCCCCTGCATTTACTTCAAATTATTTACCTCTGCTACCGCTCGTGGACACTAGTGGGTGGACACAGGTTGGTGGATCACATGATTGTAGTTGGAGCAAGCTCACTCAGAAGGACCCTTGACTACCTACCCTACGATCTAAGGGTAAAGTATCGAAGATTCACTTTTGCAAAATCGGGACTAAGCCTCAACCCAAACAACGTGAGTAAACTCAAGAAATTGCAGTGGTTACTTAGAAACGGTTCCCTAAAATCCAGAGAAATCATTCTCTGGCACGACGTGATAAACAATAGTATCACAAAACATCCCAAAAACTTTAATACGAAGTGTTCCCCGGAGCAGTTAACTGAAATCATCACGAATTTTCAGCATCAAATAGCTGCGATCATATACATTCGTCGAGACGGTACCCCTCACATTTTTGAAAAGTTACGGAAGACGAAACCTCTTATCATCGACGCGATAAAACGACTTCTTCCTAAACAAAAACAAAACGACATTGATACAGTTGTTGCCCTCTCTAAACTACACCCCCCTCCGTCTCTTGAGCTGAAGTTGCTCAACAAAGTACTTTCGAAACGTCACAACCTTCGTTCACTAGTACTTCAGCAAAGATCAAAATCCAGAGTACGGCCCACCAAATCAAAGAGAGCAGCAGCAAAGAAAAAACAAGCAGCCCAATCCTCATCGCACTAGTTCTGGTGAGTCTGATTTTCTTGAGACTATTCTCTCCTGAGGTTTTTATACCTTGGAGTATCAGTCCAAGGGAATCAAAAAAACTCAATAAGTCTTCTCTAGTCTGGTTTTCTCCTGAGGTTTTATACCTTGGAGTGTCAGTTCTGAGAAGATTTTTTTGAGCAATATGGGCTCAGAAGAAAGACGCAGAAATGCTAGCGTCTCGCAAGCATCTGAGAAATCTTGTAAAACATGCAAAAAGCCGATCACAAACAAAAGTCAAATCTTTAATTGCATTGCCTGTGGCGATGTTATGCACATGACAAAAACATGCACTGGAATATCTGAAACTGCCATCCTTGGAATTTCGGAGATCAGCCAGAACGTCCTCCTGCTCTGTAACTTTGTGTTGGAAACAATAGGAAAGAGTCGATGATCAACGATTTGATGCAAACCCGTCCATCCATTGCTGAAACAAAACTAAATGAAATCGCCGAACAATTCTCTACTTTTAAACAAGAGATAGATTCACTTAAGCAAAAGATAGATGAAACAAGCAAAAAACCACAAAACAGAAATGAGCCAAAGCAACCTGCCTTAAACAAACCAGAATCAAGCTATAACGGAATCCGGATAAGAGGACTGCTTGAACTGGGCTCAAAAAGTTCAAGAGATAGACACGAACACGACTTGGAAGAGGTGAACAAACTGTTTGCGTTCTTAACAGTTGAAGCAAAAATCACAGATTTAAAACGTTTAGGAAAATACGAAGAAGGAAAAAGACCACGCACAATAGTTGTAAATGTTTCAAATGAATGGCAAAAACGACTGATACTAATGTCCTTGGCAAAATTGAAAAACTACGACAAAACTGTCTTTGTGTCAAAAGAGCTCAGCCCAAGTGAATTTCTGATTGAGAACAAACTTCTTATGAAAAGACGAACAATGATAGAAACTGGAGTATCAGCTAAAAACCTAAGGCTAAGGGACCTTGTCCTTTACCAATATGACGAAGAAAGTGGAAATTGGAAAAAAGTCGAAGAAAGCAATTGACTACCTACTGCCAAGTATTTAAAAATGTTATGCCTAAATGTCAGAAGTATTTTAGACATCAACAGAAGAATAGCTCTTTCAAATGCCATTTTACAAACAGACTACGATATACTATGTCTCACAGAGACATGGCTGGTAAAGGAAATACCAGATAAAGCTCTGCATTTGGCTGGTTTTAATATAATTCGCAAAGATAGAAAAAACTCCACTTTAAAAACCAATCACGGAGGCGTACTCATGGCGATAAAAGAAAATGTGCATTACGAAGAAATTGATGCTCAAATAGAAAATGAAGAATGCATAGTGGCCAAACTAACAGGTGAAACTGGGCATCATCAAATACTCTGCTGTGTTTATAATCCCCCGAAAAACAGTAAATACCAATGGAAACAACAAAACTTCATCAGTTTGTTCGAAAACCTAACAAAATTACAAATACAACACAACTGTAACGCAGTGTCGATTACGGGAGATATAAATTTTGAATACACTCATTGGAAAATGATGCACTCAAAGGACAAATATGAAAATGCAGTGTTAAAAAAGCTCATTGAACTTGACTATGAACAATTATTCGACTCCAAAAAAAAGCAGCTTGATGTTTTATTAACAAACAACCCTGGAGTAATACTCAACTGGCACACGGACCATTCAGCAACAAACGCATACAGCATCGACAAAGTTTCTTGCTCAGATCATTATGCTTACTCTGCAACAATTAACATGGAAGCCAGTATCAAAGAAATAAACAAAGATGAAAGTCTGGCGTTTAACAGAGCCGATTGGAAGATAATAAATCAAGAAATAAAAGACAAACCTTTCATACCGTATTGTTACAGTAATGTAAATGAGCTCCTTCGTCAGTGGTATGCATGGTTATGGGACAAAATAAAGAACAATGTACCCAAGGTTACATCACACAGATCAACTCTCCCCCCATGGGTGAAGCCAAGTACGTCTCACATGCTAAAAAGAGTACAAACCTTAAAACGGCGTATCGATCGGCAAAACAAACCTAATTTAAGCATTATCCTAAAACACAAAAAACTGGAAAAAAGTCTTCAAATAGCATTGACTGCAGATCAAGCAATTTACGAAGAAACAGTAACAAGCAGTAGACGATTCAGTGACCTGCAAAAATACTTGAACAAAATAAGTAGTTCCAGGAAATATCCCCAAAAAATGTTCTACAAGGAAAAATCCACAAGAGATGACACCCAAAAAGCTACATTTTTTAACGAATTTTTCATCAGTGTATATCAAAAGGAATCAATTCCTAACCCTCTCGCACGAAATACAAACTGTTCTCCTACAGAAGAAATCTGTACACAAATACACATTGAAGAAACCAAAATCCAATACATTCTCAAAAATCTTTTAACAAATAAAGCGTCAGGTTTTGATGGTATAGGTAATATAATCCTAAAAAATCTTTCTGAAACTCTGTCAAAATCGCTCTATCTTCTCTTCCGCACATTCATTAACAAGCGGCTCTTCCCGACCTACTGGAAAACAAGTCAAGTGGCCCCAATTTTTAAAGAAAAGAACAAGGCGTCAGTCGAGTGCTACCGCCCAATTAGCCTCTTATGCTCCGCCTCGAAGGTCTTCGAAAAAATTATCTTTGATAATATATACCCCAAAGTTCAACCTTTCCTGGAAAACGCACAATACGGCTTCCGGCAAAAAAGGTCAGCAGTACTACAAATGGTACAATTTTTGAGCAAAGTATATGAACTCTACGATGACAAAAATGTTCAAACACTCTCAGTCCTTTATCTAGATTTTTCTAAAGCCTTTGATAAAGTTCCTCATAGTATCCTAGTCGCCAAACTACGGAACATAGGTCTAAGCATTCAAATACAAGACATAATACAAGACTATCTAACAGATAGAATGCAGTTTGTGAAAATCAATAAAAGTTCATCAACTCTGAAAGAAGTAACTAGCGGTGTACCACAGGGCTCAATTCTTGGCCCTCTACTTTTTATCATATTCATTAACGACTTTCCCAAATGCATTGAGAATTCAGATTGTTTTGGCTATTGTGACGATATGAAGATCTTGTCTACTGAAGAAATTCATCTGCAAAAAGACACGGCAAATGTTGAAAAATGGTGCAAAGAAAATAAAATGCCGCTGAATGAAGATAAATGTAATTTGTTAAACCTCAAAGGGAAAATGGAAGTTACACTATTTAATACAAATGTTGATACCGCAAAGACCCAAAAAGACTTAGGTATTTTAATGTGTCACAACCTTTCGTGGTCAGTAAATGCTGAAAATCGCATATCAAAAGCAATGGGAGCTTTTTACAAAATCAAACGAAATATCTCGAAAAAAACATCTTTAAAGTCAAAATTAAACTTATACTGCGGATACATCGTACCAATCATAAGCTATGCATCGCAAACATGGTATCCGAACAAAGCAGAATTAAGACAACTAGAAAGAGTACAAAAACGAGCGACATCTTGGATTACAAATAACTTCAAAATGAGTTATACTGAAAGACTGAAATTTTTAAAGCTCCTTCCACTCTCAATGTACTTTGAATTACACGACATATTGTACTTAGTTTCACTACTAAAAAATAAACATGACATTGATTTGAATACAATTATTCATAAAAACGAATCACGAACGAGACAAGCAACACGTGGTGAGATTGCTGTTCATGCAACAAGACTGAAAAAGTCAAATGAAAATTATTATATACGTTCTATTACGCTATACAACTACTTTAGCCAAATTGTGGACTTCGAAAATCAAGATTATGACAGCCTGAAAATATCTATAACAAACACGTTTTGGAAATTCTTCAACAGAAATTTTGCAGAAAACAACTTGTGTATGTGGAGAATTCTTTGCTGGTGTGGAAACTGCAACCCACCGGGAAAAATTATGAACTTATAAACGAGGGTTCAAAACCCATGGAGAAATCCTAAAGCCTACACTACTACTACTACTACTACTACTACTATATGGAAAAGTACTAGTCATACATTTTCATATAACTATAATCAAAATTTGTCTTGAAACGATTATTTTCGTTTTTCTTTCAAATGAGAAAAACGTTGAGTTTGCTCTTCGTTTTTTTCTTCCAAGCTTTCGTGGCCCTGTATATGCTTAATTTTTGGACAAAGGTGCTTTATTGTTGTCCGATTGCCGCGCTCTTTTAAAAATTTTATATACAATGTATATAGTGATAACGGCATTACATTAACTCAGATGA